AACAGTAAGGGTTTCACAAACCAAAGTAGGTTGCTGTGTAGGTGAATCCTTGAATTCATCATGAAGAAATTGATTGTCTGTATCTTTTTCATCCGTGTCAATGGAGTTAGCAGTAAGTCTCTCAACTTCTTTTAGGGCAACCAGCCACCTTCGTAGCAACTGAACTCTCTCTATCCCTCTACATGAAATAGAAACTTCTTCTAACCGTTTTACTGTGTGCCTGAAGCTTTGCATGTTCCGAGTCACCTTTTCATTAAAACGATTCATATTTTAGACACACATTTGAGAAAATGGAGAAACCTTAAATGCACTACTTTTGGTGATGTTTTTACTAATTGATGTTTTGTTTATATCATTTGCATAATCCATTGTACTTCAATTTCGATTGAAAAACACCAAACAAATAACACTTCAGGGGATTTATCTAAATTTTGCCTGGGGAAGAGCTTAACAGGCATGCACAGGCATGCACTATGAGCGAAAACTTTAGTCAACAAAAATCATCCTTAATTTAATTTTGACTCTTATGATAATATTATTGTACGAGTTAATACCATTTGTCATTGAGATGGCTGTGCATGGAATATTTATTCAGGAGATAAAGACCCCAAAAACAACAAAAACGACCCTTTTAAGGCCCAGCCCTGAGATTTCTTACACTGTAAGGTACCATAGCAAGGTGAAAACTTTCTGTCGAACCAAGAATTAAAAACCAAAATGGCAAAGGAAGTTTGAAAGTTTCAGGAAAAGGGGTACTTACAATGCGGTCCTGAATAATTCTGGCGCCGCCGGCGACGGCGTTGCTTGCATGGAGCACGACGGAGTCGGTGTAGGTGCGAACGGCACGTCGGATATTGGTTGGGCCACCTTCCACCGCCTTGTTTACCGCCGATCTTACCCATGACATTCTTCTTCAGACTTCGCCAACTTTTTATTCTTCTTTACTTTTCTTAACGATATATATGAATAGGTATATTCTTGTAATGTATTGGTGTGTAGGTACCTGTGATTAAGGAAAATGAAAAAGGGAAAAGAAAATGCTTTCTGTGAGTTCTTGTTGTTTTATGATGAAGAAAAGAAAATGGAAGTTGAGGATGATAGTTATCGTGGCACGTGTGAAAATGATCCGATGATGAGGAGAGAAGAGGGAAGAGATGAAAGAAAGAAGAAGTCAGCTTTTGTTTTGGTGGCATGAATTTCGGAAGAAGTACTGTTTTTCCTAAATCCATTTTTGTTGTTTTTCTCATTTCTCTGCCTTCGAGTTTATTTATTCTATAACAGTAATTTTAAAAAATAAATAAAGTTATACTAATTGTAACATGTAAAAGGAAGTGATTTTTTTCTATGGATGTGCTCAAATAGAATTCAAAAAATAATTCACACTAATATGATTTAGTAATGACATAAGTAAAAATGACAAATTGTATTGTTACAAAAAATCTAAATTAAGTAGTATTTTAACAATTTGAATTTATATTGTACATATTAATTAGTTAGAAAACAAAGTTTCATGTACTAATGTATTCTATTGTAAGATTGATTTCAATTTCTTCTCGATGTTTTTAAAATGTTCAATTAAGCTTCTTTTTCATTTTATTTTAATGTGACATCTTCCATCAAATTATTCATAACCATGTTAATTGCATAAGTGAAATGGGTGCCGCGATAGTGGTGTAATCGTTATTGTTAAGATAAATATTCATGATTGATTTTAAAATGAAAGAAAATATATTAATTTTAATTTTTAAAAATATTTTTGTTTGAAAATTATTTCTTTTGGTCGGAAAATGAGAGTCATCATCGATATGGATTCGTAATAAAGTGAATGAAATTTTGGTTGCGATTACCTATAATATTTAATTTTTTAAATTATTCTTTAGTTATATTTTTTATTTTTATATTTTAAAAAAAAATTGGTTTAAATCATCGGATGGTCTTCGTATTTGTAGAGGAATCTCAAGTGGGTCCTCTTTTTTGAATTATCAAAATTTATTTCATATACTTGTAAAATTGAGCCAATTTTGTCCTCTCCATTAAGTTTTGACAAACGGCATTAAACTGTGGTGACGTGGTGCACACTTAAGATGTTGATGTAGCAGTGTTATATTACGTGGAATTTTTTTAAGATAAACAATTTAATAGAAAATGTTAGGAATTCAGAGTCGTCATCATCCTATGCCTCTTCATCTTTCCTTTCGAGCATTTCAACAAAAACTCCCTATACAAACCTGAAAAATTGAGCATAATCATCAAATCAAAGATGAAATAGTTTATACATAGGGAAATGAACTTGGGAATGGTTCTGTGAGTTGGTTGGAGCTCAGATCCATGTGAAAAAGGTTGGGGAGGGCCGAAAGGGAATAGGGGATGAAGCTGGAAGAAGGAGTTGGAAGTGAAGGAGAGGTTTGTGAGGAAAATTAGGTCTCTGATGGAGGAAGGGATTTCGCCAGCGAGGGCGTTGGAGGAGAGGTTGAGAAGTTGGAGGGAGTCGAGCATGGTGATGGAGGGGGATGTTGCCTTTGAGGCAGCGAGGTCGAGGCGAGGAGGAGAGGAGGCGGCGAGGACTCTATCGAAGGGTACCTATGACCTTGGGGTAGTTGGGGAAGTGGATGTTGGAGAAGAGGGAAAAGGTGTGGCGGTTGAGGGGGAGGTCGATGTAGAGGGTGTAGGCGGCGGGGTGGAGGTGGCGTGGGGAAGGACGCGGGTGGAGAGGAGGGAAAGTGCGGGCAAGGGAGCTATGGCAAAAGCGATTTGATTTTCTTTGCTTGCTCAGTTAAAAGGTTTGATTTTTATTTGAGTTATTCTGTTAAAACCGTCAAACCAATTATAATCCTGGCCATTTGAATTGTTTTTGCTCTGATTCATGAAAAAGTTAACGTAGGGTTGGATGCATCTTGTTTTGGAAAACAAATGTAGGGAGGGATACTACTTGGGCCATCAACGATCGCGAGGAATGAGAAATTCCTAAACACGATTTTCCCCAAGAAAAGCTTGATTGTGCTTGAAACTGTGGCCAATTTGGGTCTTCTATTCTTCTTGTTTCTAGTGTTTCTCTTGTCATCTTTGTAAAATCTGCAGATTGGTTCATCATCATTATGTTTTTGTCATAATACATTATCTAAGGTAGAAAACCTCTTTTCCTCTCGCCGTGCAGGTGCAGATGACACCGAAATCCATCGTCGACGACCTTATAGAGACGTCGTTGCGACAGTACGTGAAGGAAAGATGAAGACGGTGTAGGATGATGAAGACTTAGAATCCCTAACACATTTCCAATTAAATTTTGTGTCATCACATAAACGGTTCATCTTAAAAAAATTCCACTTAATATAACACTGCTTCATCATCATCTTAAGTGTGCATCACGTCATCACCGTTTAACGCCGTCTGTCAAAACTTAATAGAGAGAGCAAAATTGGCTCAATTTTACAAGTATATGGACCAAATTTTAACCGTTCAAAAAACGAGGACCCACTTGAATTTCTCCTACAAATAGAAGGACAATATGAGGGTTTAAACTTTTCTTTTACGTATAAAACATTATAAAATTTAAAAAGACCTATTTTTTATGATTTTGTCATTATTTTTAAATTACAAATATTCTTTTTGAGGTTTTTCATATATGTTTTACGAGATAGTCATTTATCGTACTTATTGAAAATTTATCTTCAAACTCATATCACTTAAAAAAAATTTATCACTGTCCCTTATTTAGACAGAATTCGACCCAAATTCTAAAGATCTGATGCACAACAACGAACACAAATCTAAAATATAAATTCTATAAAATTGAATCAAAGAGGCTAACCTTTTATCGAAGTCTACATGCAAGATTAAATATCCACCTGCAAATATAAAAAAAAAATTAAATTAAAGATGAAAATATAAGATCCCAGTTTGGGATGCACAATGCGAATAAAAAATTTAAAATTTTTAAAACATAATATCATTAAGAAAATTTAAATTCAATAAATTTTTACAACTAGAAAAAAAAACCATAATTCCAATTATACAAAATAAAACTCAATAAAATATTAAAATGATGAATTAATCAGGTTTAAAATAATTATCTTAAGATTTATATAAATAATATTTTTTATTTGTTATATTAAATTTTATTATTTTAAAAGATAAATGATAAATATAATAAAAAGTAATTAACAAATCACTATATCACAAATAATATTAAATTAGAGTTTTTGTAATGTTTCATGCTCAACATTAATATACATGTGGTAATAAATCAATTGTACGATGAGAATTTTTATTAATTTTTTCACATGATTGTTGGTTGAGCATATATATTATCATTTTAATACGTAATGAATATTTTTTTGTGTGAAACCTAGTTTCAGTATCACAGATACTCTACATGTGATTTTCGGATTAAATTTGAAGTGGTACTTTAATAATCTACACCTAATCAAATATATTACGTATCATCAAAATATGCCTATAAATATTCATAAATAACGCCAATAATACACCTGATACTATGGAAGTTTTATTTTATCCATATTTTTGACACACTAACTCATATTTCTTGTATATGATTGGTATTGTCCATTTGCTATGTTTCTAAAATATATCCATCTTGGTATATTAAAAAATAATTTAATATATTTTATAATATTAAAATCAATATATCATTATATTTTAAAAGCACAACATTGAAACAATATCAAAACTCCTATAGAGAATTGAAATTTAAAATTTCAACTTCAAATATTGGATTAAAAATAATTTATTTAAAAAAAAAAGTCTAATCGTCTCTACTTAAAGATTAGAACAAAATTACGATTTGAAGAAAACAAGAAAAACCTTTTGTTAATATTACTATATTTATCAGTATTATTGTTTGGACAATATCACTTATATATTGAAATATTGTGCAAATGTACAACGCAAAATGATTATTACGAAAATTGATACCGCGAAAGTAAAATTTCTTCATATATAAGATTTAAACATTTATTGTTTTTATGCATGATAGAGTGAATCATGATAAACATCAATACCAGGTTAAGACTTGAAGCTTCATATCATGGCATGAAAATCCAAACTCAGCACTTAGCTAAAGATAAACATTAATATCAGGCTAATAATTGAGACTTAAAGCTCCATATCATGGCATGAAATACTTAGTGTTTATACACCTCATCCACCCAACCCACAATTTGAGCCAGAGAAGCTTCTTTGGTAAGCATCTATGACATTATTCCCTGATGACCCCCAATGAAAATTGAAAAGTAAACTAGGTGTAGTACAGCATAACAACTGAACCAAATGTTGTACAATTCCTGTTGATTGGAGGATTATAATGAATCAGGATTTAATGCAGATCAAAATGAACAGCAAGGACATGAAACAAGTATAGAAGGATATTCGCCGATCAATTATGGTCTTGCGTAGGAGGAATTTCTGGTTTTCGCTTGACATCTAGGATGTTTCAACTTCCATTCCAATGGATCCTTATCAAAAGGAACTGAATATCTTAGGCAATGAACTAATCTAAATCTGGCAATGGGGTTTTCCAATAGTTCCATGAGTTGTAGTCCTCCTGTGGTTTTTCAGAAGTCAAAAGTTAATTTTATTAGTAGTAAAGTTTAGATTCTATTCAACTAACGGGAGTAGGAGCTGATTTGTTACCTGCTCGACCAAAGAAGTTGGTGGAAACATGTCATTCACAAGAGTGTGTAATGATGTATATGACTTTGCACCAATTCGGTGACTAATAGCTACCTCACCCTGTTATTTTCATAGGCATTTTAGTTGGTTAACAAGAACTAAAGTCAATACGATCGTTACAAAATATGAGTCCAGCATACACACCTTGGGGTTAATAATAAATATTTTGCCCTTCGGGATGCCAATCTTTCTGTAACTCAGCTCATCTGTATCTCTATTTCCAAATCCGGCGTAGAATGGGTTATAGTCAGAAGGGAAAAGCTTTTTGATATCCTGTGAAACAATAGTTTTAGATCATATATATTACATTGTTCATAAGAACATGTCTTCCAATAACATTTCACGTTAAACATCATAGTGACATGGTTTTGTGTTCTGGCATTTACCTCTAAACAAGCAATCTTGAATTCATGCGGTGCCCTTCGTATCACTTCCATCAGTAAACATGCAACATAACGTCAGACACAAAAATCCACCTCCAAGGATAAAAGGGACAAGTCATAATAAACATATAATGAATAGCAGGTTGTCAATAGTTCTCACAAATGCTAAAGCAAAGGAGATTGGGTATGTTTAAGAATTATGTCATTCATCAATAGATAAGTCCGAGCTCAAGGTATATGCAGTCACTTCAGTTTATCCGAGTTCATGAATCTTAAAACAACTCAGAAAAAAGTTCAATTTCAGAATTTCATGCTCCAGATCCTGTGTCCTATTTTTGCAATTATAACAGATAGTATGCTCCCTTTTTTGGGTGGCAAAAGAACTATGAGCTTGTTTGTGGTAAAATTGAGTAGACTTGATTTTGAAAAGCTGAATATAATTGGAATGTGTACAGATTATCTCAATAAAGATTTTAAATAAAAATGTATGTCAGCAAGATGAGTTAATTTTGGGTGCTTCTGATAGACAACAAGATACAAATAGGACTTTAAAAGTGTATTATAGGAAGAGAAGTAAAAGTAGGAATTAAACCTATTTTATTCTTTGACCTAACAGTTAGGTTTTCTGTAATAGTTAGTTCGTTTAGTTGCAAGCATTGATAGGTTCAAGGGGAAGGTTTATACTAGAAGGAATAAAAATTGACAGACAATTATAAATGTCTGAGGGGTAGTTTTGCTGTCTCATACTTTTATAAAGCATACTTTTATAAAGTCTGCATGGGTAATTTTTTAGCAGTTTTTTATCTTGTTTTTGGAAGTTCTGTCAATCTAGGGAAGTGGAGAGTCTGGTTGTCTCGAATAACCAGAAGTTATATGTTTGTTTCAGTTTCTCCATTTGGAAGAAAACGACGATTATTCTCGTATTCTTGTTACGATCTTCTTCAAC